GTGTGAAGGAGTTTTGGGAATTAAACGTGTTAGGGTATGTTTACTCTCCCCATGTGAAAACAGCAGCATCTAAGGGATATTTTGGTTCTTCAACCCCAGAAGCGGTACCATGTTTTTCGTGTGACTTGCCAATTGTCATTCATCTTCATAGCCGCGTCTTTTACTGTTCCATTCGTCCATCGCCCGCAGCATCTCTAAATGTTCTTTATAGTGGTGGTCAAATTCATCTTTGCTATCATCAACCCAAGCCCTAATAAAACATAATGGAAGCTCAATAATTTATTATTAACATCCATAAACCATGTATGTCATCCACATACCGTTTTCCGATAAAGTAGGTTTCATGATGAGAATGGGTCAGGGTTCTCGCTCGTTTCTAGTGAACGTTCGAAGGCAACTTTACCAATCCAGAATACATTCGATTGTTTCCACCAAACGTTGTGCAGGCATACTCTTCCATTGGATCGTAGACCGAGTCCAAGGAGTAACCCCACCGTCTAGGGCCATCATAATGGTAAGACATCCTAATCTATGGTTATAGAGTCCTAAATAGAGTCAAGCAATATGGAGTGAAGTTGAAGGCGTAGAGGTCGGAGTCTGACTCACCAGACCCAATCCGCAGTCGGAACCCGGATTTGGACCTGGAAAGTCGAATATTTAGCTCGATATTTTACGAAAAGCGGAATTCGCAGCGAAAAGACAGTCCTAATAAGAACATTTTCAACAAAAACGCCAAAATATCGAGCCGCTTTCGAAAAGTCGGGCGATTCCGCAAAAGCTTACCCCATCAGATAATGGGTGGCATCGACGATTTGATGGATTACTGCCCATACATATTATCATTTTCAAACACTATGTGCCAAAAAGGGTATGAAGAAACGCTCTCAGGTTCTGTGTTTTCAAAATCTGCGCGATGCTTTTCAGCTGTCCCAAACACTACCCTCCAGATAAAAAGTGACAAAAATATGTTTTCTATCTGTGCGGACGTGCTGTGCGACGAGGGCACCTCGAAGTATCAGGTGCGCGTGAAGGGTGGGACTGATTTCGTGGACTGCCCACCCGGAAGCACCCTTGTGCTCTCGAAGTACAGTACAGAGTTTAAGTCTGGCGCGATCGAGTGTGCACCATACGAGGAGGTGTGCAACACAAACTATTACCGAATCGAGACCCATCGCATCCCCGCATCCGGTACGACTAACATCGCGTACT